TACCGCAAAAAGATCCGGTACATATATGTGTCTTCTTCTTCGGAGTCGACCCGCCCTCGACGCCGACGCCGGGCTATTCGAGCCAAAGACCACCCTCCTACGGTACCGGTTGCCCCTCCACCGCAACCGGCCCCTTCCACCTCGGCGCCATCCGTGGTCCCAGTTCGACCCCCGACAACGCAGGTCGGCATCGAGAAGCCCCCTCCAAAGAAGAAGAGGGATGTCTTCTCCTCTGATCCAGATGAGGTGTCCACGGAGCGGTCTTCTGACTCCGATCAGGAGCAACCCCCACCCTTGCCACCGCATGATTTACCTCCGGGTGATCTGGTGCTTTCCGATACTGGCGATACTCACGCTCCTTCTCCATCTGAGGATTTTTCTTCTTATTCTCAGATGATGTCCAGGCTTGCCAAGACGCTCAAATTGGACTTGAATCTCCCTTCCCCTCCGGGAGAGGACTTGTTCTTTGGGGACATCAAGAGGGACAGTACCGCTCCCCCCAGTATAGCCTTTGTGCCTGTGGTTATGGAGGCCATCAAGGAGTTCTGGGCTCAGCCTGCGACTACACCTAATGTCCCTCGTCGCACAGAGCACTTCTACAAGATTCATGGGGCTGACACTCATTTTCTGCTCAAGCATCCCATTCCAAACTCACTCATTGTTGAGACAAGCTGTTCAAGGCCTTCGGCCAAAGCCCATGTTACCCCAGTTGACAAAGAGGGTAAAAAGCTGGAACTCATCGTGCAATTAAATATTTGCCCTGTTGTTTTAAATGTTATGCTTAATTTATTTTGTATGCATGGCAAGCACACACAATTTGATATTTAATGTGATAGAGACAGAACAAGAACTTTGTGGGAGGAGTTCTCAGAAGGAAGGGGGATGAGTTTTCAGCCAGGAGGTACACATTCAGAATGCCTGTTCTTATCACCAATGAGAGATGAGTTCATATAGTGACACTCAAATTCTTTAATAAAGAATTTCTCTCTTCCAGTCATGGACTGCCTCTAATGTCTATTTCTGGCCTAACAGACAGACACTTTGATGGCAGTCAGAGACAACAAGAGCCACCACCCTCTCCTCTGTATCAGTGATTAAAGGGCCAAAATCAGGTGATCTCAGCCATATGGCTAGCTCTGGCATGCATAACTTTTAAAGGATAAATAGCCATCATCTGTGGGGATTCTGACTGGGACAACGGATTAAAGCCACTATCCTGGTCCAGATCCAGTTCACCGCAACATTGTATACTGTCTAATTATACTTTTAAAGTTGTACATGCCATGGCTAACCACTGGAATCTAGTTTAGCTTTCAGATAAATGATGCACAGTGAATTTCACTGATTCCTGGTTTTCTGGCTGAAATTCTTTTTAACATAGTAAGTTACAACTAGACTAAAATTATTGAATCAGCAGAATGTATGGAGAGTTGGCTGGCCAAATCCTCACTGATTCAGTGGGCCTACTCTAGTTGCAAATTACTATGCTAAACAATAGGGTTTTTATCCTCTGAGAGTTTTTAGTGCATATTTCTTTTGCTAGTTCTCTATCTGGAAGATGGGAAGAAAATCATTCTAGCCAAGGAATGTTTAGATTATATGTTCAAAACTTACCAGGAAAAGACTCTAGCGGTAGATTAATCTCTGCGTAACGGCCACTGGAAACCATAACAGCATCAAAGATGGCTGATGCCTGCTGCCCATCAGTCTCTGTATAAACTATCCACTGTCCTGTGGCTGCAAAATCTGGGTGTTTTCTGATGCTACAAACTTTGGTCTTATACAAACAAAAAAGAAAATGCAAGCCCACATAATTAGAGAGATATACCTGTATACTTAATCAATATCCTGTAATGATGTGCTATATTGTGTGTCCTTCAGTTTGGATATTGAAAGCTGAGGGGGTAAAAAGGTTGGGATTCTCAGTTTAAAACAAAGAAATAAACAAACACATGGCAATTGTAAACAACAAAATCAGCAGTGCTTGGGGCCAGGAAAGATCCCTAGTTTAAGACCAGTCATCCTGTTGCCTTTTCAGCTGCTCCTTCCCCATTTTAACCTATAACTTTGATGGTTATAGGTTAAATAGGCTCCTTCCTTCCCAGGCACTAGGTAGCCCTTCCCAGTTTGACTGTGATCTAGTGGGTGTCAGCAGCAAAGATTTCTAGCAGGACTACCATTAGCAGCAGCAGCAGTAGTGTGTCATTGTCTTGGAATAATTGTAGATAAAAAGCTAAATATGAGCTAATAGTGGTAGAATATACCAGATGGGTGGGATATAAATCGAACAAATAAATAAAAAAATAAATAAAATATGATTGCAAAAAAAGTAAACACTATTTTAGGCTGCATTAACAGAAATATAGTCTCTAAATCACATGAAGTACTAGTCCTTCTCCATTCGGCACTGGCTAGGCCTCATCTTGAGTATAGAATCCACTTCTTCCACTGCACATTAAGAAGGTTTCAGACAAATTGGAACAAGTTCAGAGGAGGGCAACAAGGATGATCATGGCACTGGAAACCAAAACCTATAAGGAAAGACTGAATGAACTGGCTGTGTTTAGCCTTAAGAAAAGAAAACTGAGGGGAGATAGGATAGCATTTTTCAAATACATGAAAGGTTGTCATACAGAGGATGGGCAGGATTTGTTCTCAACCATTCCAGAGTGCAGGATATGTAATAATAGCCTCCAGTAACAGAAAGCCAGAATTTGGTTCTGATCATCAGGAAAAACCTCTTAACTGTTAGAGCAGTATGACAATAGAACCTATTACCTCAGGAGGTGGTGGGCACTCCAACACTGGAGGCATGCAAGAGAAAAGAATGTTAGACAGCCATCAGTCATGCATACTTTAACCTGGATTCCTGCATTAAACAGGGGTTTGGACTTGTTGGCCTTATGCACCCCTCCCAACTCCATTATTCTAGGATTTTATAATCCAAAAAGCACAAAAGGCAGGTGAACGGCAGGCACTGATTCTGGCAAGTGGACCCCCCTCCCCTCAAAATGGAACAACAGGTGCTTTTGCCCTTTTTCTCGGCAGGAACTGACTCTTACAAAATTAACCGTATTAATTTTCTCCTTACCTTAAACTGTATGTAGTCAAGAAGGTGGAAGTGCTCAGTGTATGCCTTTAGATACTTCAAAAGCATGGAGTGATGCAAATAGTTGGGCCAGTTATCTGGGAAAGGAAAGTCACTGAAGCAGGTCATTTCCTTGGAGGTATTGGTTATCACAGATCTGTACACAGTTGTTCTCCCCTCTTCAGGAATTTCCTGTGTAATAGTAACAGTGAAAGTTACAAAGTATAATGAAATAAGAACACAAGCCTTCTAAAACATTTAATTTTAAATCCTAGAATTGTAACCTACTACCATTTTATTTCCTATTTTGAACCAGTTGTGATGTTGTGCTGCAGTGTTATTTTATGATCTTTTATTTCTTAGCAGAGCGAGATGCAGCAGATGTTAGCCACTACATTTGGCACTTTTTTTCTCTGGAAAGAAATTAAACCCAAACTTTTACAAAAACAAGACAATTATTATTTATCAGAAAAACGAATTGATAACAGGAATCCTAGTTCTAGCTAACTATGATGTAAAGGCAGGAAGTCAAGTTTGCCCATGCCTCCCTGGAAATAAAACACAAGAGGCCTTCTCTCCAACAGATGGTCAAGAGAGAGAAGTAGGAAGGAAGATGAGAGATGTGGTACCCAAGTCTCCCTAAGGAACGCTTAGTACTCGGTCAGAGAGTTTGACAGGCCACTTGCCTACCACCTTTGCGCTGAGGCAAGTCCCAAGACCTCAGCAGTGCATAGCGTAAGCCCCACTGAAAAAGTCTGACCTTAAAATAATACTTTACTTTTACGTAGTACTTTGCAAGTACAGACACATAGGCTTTGTGATTCCTTAGAACTCACAACACCTCAGTTAGGTAGGACTCTTAAAGATAGCTAGTTTGTGGGCCTCTCCACTCCCTGGATTTAGCCAGACCCTGCTGTTCAAGAGACCAGTCCTTTTGTAAGAATTTTAATAATGATTTTTAATTAGAAAAATAGAGTTTCATAGAATCAGTTTATATTGCTCAAGCTTTAGCATAAAGAACATATTCAAAGATTATTACAGTTAAATAAAATAGCTAATCCCCATTAAAATAAAAATAACTGCTAAGGTGGGCTAGTTCCACCTCCTCCTTTCTCTTTACTTACATTTACTTACATTCTCTCTCTCCTTTGAGCCACATGCTCAAGCCATCGAGTTCTTTTTTTTTTTTCATCATGGAATCAAACGTCTCCCACATAACCCATCGGCCATTTTCTACATTCGCTAACTCTTCCCTTCTTCTTGACACATCATATCTATTGACCAATTAGCCTCAAAGGGCAGTAACAACTTCCTCCGCCTTCAATTCCCATGGAAATCCAGGTGTTTTATCTGTTCTCCAATTAGCTCGGAATGTTGAGTCTTCCATGGACTTCTTGGTCCGACCTTCAGCTTTATCTTAAACCATGCTATACAGGTCTTCAAAAAAAAACACTCTCACAGCACTTAGAAAAACACATTCCAGTGACTCTCAAATCATCTTCACACAGAACTTGTCTGACTCTTATCTTGCATTTCTCTGATTGCATATCCCACACTGATTCAACTCCATCACAAGAGACACCATTAGTCTAGGTTGCAGGAAGTTCAGCATAGCTGAAAAGCAAAGTATGGTCTAGGGCAGTGGTTCTTAACCTTTGTTACTCGGATGCTTTTGAACTGCAACTCCCAAAAACCCCAGTCAGGACAGCTGGTGGTGAAGGCTTCTGGGAGTTGCAGTCCAAAACTCCTGAGTAACCCAAGGTTAAGAACCAGTGGTCTAGGGCACCAGAAGAGCTCATTTGTTATTTACAGTGGTGCCCCGCATCGTCGCTATCCGGAAACATCGCTATACGGATAGGTAAACCTCATAGGAATGTTTAATGCTTTCCTATGGGGCGAAAACTCACAGTTGAGTGAAGATCCTCCATAGCACCGCCATTTTCGCCACCTCGGTAAGCAAGGAAACCCCGCGAATGGAACCGTCAATCAGCTGTTCTAAAAACATCGCAATGCGAAGATTTTAAAAAGCTGTTTTTTCATGGAACGGAGTACAGTGGTGCCTCGCATAACAAGCGCACCATTTAATGACGAATCCGCATAGCGATCTGTTTTTTCCGATCGCTAATGCGATCGCATTGCGATGTTTAGATAGGGTAAACATCGCATTGCGATGATCGGTAAGCGAAACAGCTTTTTAAAATGTAAGCTGACCTGCCCTATTTTAATATTGTATTTCATTATTTTATCTTTGCAAGCTGTACAGAAAACAATGGTAACTATCTGGCAGCCCATATACCTGCCTGAAATAATAATACTAAAAATAAGATTCTGAAATAGTATGTTTACACTACTTTGAAATGGTTTACATAAGTAAAGGTGCGGTTACATTAATGAAATACATTGAATTCTGGGCCGCATGGGTTTTATGTTCCAGTGTGATAATTTTAAATCCAGTCTTAATCTTCATTTTAGATTGATCCTGGGAACTACATGAGGATTTCCTCTTTCTTGACCTCCTACTGACTGCCTCTCAAAGCCACTTGTGCCTGCTGCTTTGGTATTATTTTAAATATTTGTTTTATTTTTTCATTTCTTCAAAGTAGGATACTGCTAGCTTAGTATTACAGATAGAAAAACATGAAACAGACATAGACATGGACACGCGCCCCCCGCCACACACATGGGCTGCTTCGTGACTTGCCCCTCGGGAACCTCCAGTTTCGTTCTCTGGTATTTCTTTCTCCCTTTCTCCCTCCATTTCTTACGAACCCTCCATAGATAAGCATTCCTGCTGAGTGGAGGCAGAGGTGGGGGAAAGAGGGAGAGAGCCCGAGACAAGAAGAGGTATTTCTTCCCCTGCTCCAATACTTTACTTTCACCAGCCCTGGGAAGCAGGACAGAGGCTCCTCTTTCAGTAAATATTTGAAGCGCCAACAGCCTGCTCTCCTTGCCTGAAAATTTCTGTGATGGTGCAGTTGCTCTGGGAGTGGCATGGCAGTGAGGAACTTGTATTTTAAAAAATATTTCCAGTCTACCATTGCATTGAATAAGCACTTCACTTATGTGACATGCCTCTTATTTTTTTTTAAAAAACAAATTTCTTAAATATATTTATGCCCCCATTACCCTGCAGCCTACAACCCATAATCCTGCTATCCAACACCTGAGAAATACCACAGACACAATTTACTCTGACAGAAGCATTCACATATGCCAATACCATCCAAAACCATTCACAAGTAAATTACAAGAAAACCAACCCCTTGGCAATTGATTAAAAAAAATCTTGATTTACAATTAAAAAGCACCCCATCAAAATAAATCCATGCTTTTGTGTGTGTCATTTAGTTCGAAAAATTGATTTCAAACATATTAAACCCAATTCAAAAATGTGTTTTTCAATGGATAACTATGCTCTGAGTTACGTATCCTGCTGCACAGCCAGTGGTAAGGAGTTCAATTCCCCACTGCATCCCACAAAAGCCAACCTGTATGGCTTTGGAAAAGCTTCACAGTCCCAGGATGCCCCCAGAAAAAAAGGGAAAGAATGGTAAACCATTCTCTAGGCACCACCTAGAAAACTTTAAAAAGGGTCACCGCAAGTCAGAAATTACTTGAGGGCACACAGTTATCATTATCATAGCACCCTCCAAAGAACTCTGAGGGCAGTTCTGATGGGGAACTGAGAATTTTCTGTTAGCAATCCACAGCAACAATATGGTTATAGCAATTTATTTATTTATATACACCTCTATTAGTGCACGAACTACAGTACTCTGGGCAGTTTGCAAGTTAAAACTTAAATCCTGCAGAAGCCACATAACAATACATTAACCAATATGGTTAATGGGTGAAATGGATTAATTGTAGAGCAGAACTGTGTGCACTCCATTCATGTCAAGGTCTAGACAAAAACAAATGTACACACTTACAAATGTACATATGGCTTTCCATATAACTGAGAAAAATGATTTTAGGTTTCCAGTTGAATGGAGACAACTCTCTTGCATTAGGTTTATAAATGCATTATGATCTTCAAACAGATATGCATATTGCATGTATTCTTGCTGTCACTCTCTTGCATGGTCAGTTTAGATAGGAAAAGGTCCAGAAAGGTCTAATTTCAAAACAAAGCAAGGCAAATGTTGTTCTATAAATGTCTGCATATACATTGAGTATACATTCTAGCAAAAGAATAGTTCGAGTATTTGGTTGTACACGCAAGGCAATAAAGGAACAGAGCCATGCATGCTGCCTCCTCTTCATCCCTGGACCTTTGCATTCCTCCTCCATTTGGTCACGAACCTCTTAGCACTGAGCCTGGAGGTCTGAAAGTGAATTATCATTCACTGCAACACAAAAAGCAAAGACACCCTCTTTGAATTCTATGGTTCTATTATCAGATCATACTGTAAATCAGATCATAATAAAAATCCTTTAGCGAGTCTGAAAATTAGGTCAAAACCCCCCTCAAATGAACAACACATGACATATTGCACTGTGTAATTATTTAGTTTACAAAAATTAAGCAAAACTGGAGAAGCTTGTAGATCCACAGTTAGCAGCAATAACCTGAAGTAATTGTTTTCTGTATGACTTTATCAGTCTCTTACATCATTACAGAGGAATTTTGGCCCCCTATTCTTTACAACATTAGGGACGTGGTGGCGCTGTGGGCTAAACCACAGAAGCCTGTGCTGCAGGGTCAGAAGACCAAGCAGTCGTAAGATCGAATCTACGCGACGGAGTGAGCGCCCGTCGCTTGTCCCAGCTCCTGCCAACCTAGCGGTTCGAAAGCATGCAAATGCAAGTAGATAAATAGGGACCACCTCGGTAGGAAGGTAACAGCGTTCCGTGTCTAAGTCGCACTGGCCATGTGACCACGGAAGATTGTCTTCAGACAAAACACTGGCTCTATGGCTTGGAAACAGGGATGAGCACTGCCCCCTAGAATCGAACACGACTGGACAAAAATTGTCAAGGGGAACCTTTACCTTTACCTTTTATCTTTATAACATTGCTTCGTTTCATTGAGGTTTGTGGGGATTTGTTTCTGCACAACTCTCTTAAGTTCCCACCACAGCATTTCAATCAGGTTGAGGTCTGGACTTTGACTGGGCCATTGCAAGGCCTTGATTTTTTTTTCTTTTTCAGCTATTATGCTGTAGATTTGCTGGTGTGCTTGGGATCATTGTCCTGTTGCATGACCCAATTTTGGTCAAGCTGTAGCTGCTGGACAGATGGCCTCACATTTGACTCTAGAATACTTTGGTATACAGAGGAGTTACAGTGCCACATTTGGTGAAAGCCGAACACAGCATATCAGCACAACACTTCATATCAACTGTCAAGCATGGTGGTAGAGGAATTATGATTTGGGCTTATTTTGCACCCACAAGACCTGGCCGCCTTGCAGTCATTGAGTTGACCATGAACTCTTCTGCATACCTAAGTATTCTAGAGTCAGTTATGAGGCCATCTGTCCAACAGCTAATGTGTGGCCAAAATTGGGACGTGCAACACTACAATGATCCCAAGCACACCAGAAAACCTACAGCAGAATGGCTGAAAAAGAAAAGAAAAAGAAAAGGAGAGTTGAAGTCCAGACCTCAACTTGATTGAAATGCTGTGGCAGGGCCTTAAATGCCTGCAAACCCCAAGGAACTGAAGCAGTGTTGTAAAGAAAATTGGGCTAGAGTTCCTCCACAACCATGTGAGACACTGAGAGAGTCATACAGAAAATGATTACTTCAAGTTATTGGTGCTAAAGGAGGTTCTACAAGCTCTTGAATCATAAGGTATACTCAGTTTTTCACACATGGCTTCTCCATTTTGGCTTTATTCTTGTTACATAAAATCACGACATGGTGCAATATGTCATGTTTTGTTGTTCATCTAAGATTATATTTACCTAGTTTTCAGACCTGCTAAGGACCAGATGGTTTTTACTATGTCCTGATATGTGAAACCATAGAATTCAAAGAGGGTGTCCTTTCTTGTTCACATGACTGTATGAATAGAACAGTCCACACAATTACAGCCTACCCATTTTTTTTTCTGGGTCATCAGTAGAATGGGGTGTTTTACTTAGATTCAGGTGTACGTGGACAGAGCATTCTATCCTAACTCTGTACTCAGTGTTGGAATGGTCAGGGATCTCCTTGGTGGGGTGCCAGTGTTAAGAAATGGAGAGGCAGAGGGCAGCAAAACTTTTGCTTTCACATATTCAAGCAACAAGGCTATTGTTCCAAATCAAGAGAGGTCCCTGTTATAACTGTGGAATATATGCTGTTGACAATTGGAAAAGTTTTGTAATCATACAGTTTCATCATTCTGGAATAACCCCACAGAGACAAAGCAGAGCTTGGACACTTTTCAAAAGTAATTACCTTCTCTTACCTACTAAAGAGCTTGAAAAACAATTTAGCATTAAGTAACTTCTTGCATTGCTCCTTACTTTTCTCTTACTTTCTTTAAAAACCTTATGATTATTAAGAGGATGGGATAAAACTGGAAATTCAGTTCCTGTCAGAATGACTTTAACTGCTCTTAAGGGTAGCTTTATAAAGCAATTAAAATTAGAAAATCAGTAAAGTAATATAATTTCCCTTTTTTGCATGTAAATATTATTTCTTTGTGCTCTCTTTAGAAAAAAACTTGTTACAACTAACTGCATGGATAATAAGTCTTTGTTTCCAATCTCTAAGGCAAAGCAGTTGCTTTCGTTTCTTTTCAGTTTCTTCTCTGTTTCCAGCTGTAGCTAGACATGTATGCTGTCCAGGCAGGAAGCAGGAAAAGAGCTTTGGCTCAAATACACTACTCAACTCCCTTTAAACATGATCCTTGTTTTCTTTGATGCTTTAAGCCAGTGGTTCTTAACCTTTGTTACTCGGATGCCTTTGAACTGCAACTCCCAGAAACCCCAGTCAGGACAGCTGGTGGTGAAGGCTTCTGGGAGTTGCAGTCCAAAACTCCTGAGTAACCCAAGGTTAAGAACCAGTGCTTTAAGCCAAGTTCCTGCCACTCACAGTGAACTGCCACAGTCCTCCGATGCCATCGCTCCTCTCAAAGCAGGTGGGCTCCAGCCCCTCATCCAGGCAGCACTTGATGGAGGTCAGTCCACTCACTCCGGCTCCAATGATCGCCACTCTTTGCACCATAATCTCTGATATTAGCAAAGAGACTTTTCTTCTGGACGTCTTCCCTGAGAAGAAAGGACTGAGCTGCAGTTAGCTTACACAATCCAAGCCGCTCTTTCAAAATGAAAGGAGTGCAAGGGTCATTGCCATTACAGGCAGCAAACTGGTTCCTGAAGTTGGCTGGGAAGTTGCACAATATGCTGAGCCATTCCTTGACAAAGGTCCTTAGCTAGCCAATGAAAGTTGTCAGCTAGGTAAATTTGTAACAGCATGATAAACTGAAGTGGGGTAAATCATTTTGGAGTAATGATTGTTTCTAACTTAAGGTGTGGTTACATTAGTGAAGTACATCCAATTCTAGATAGAGATTTTTCAAATTTGTGTAAAGTAATCATGTGGGTTTCATGCTGCTGTGTGTGTCCCCTTGTGACAACTTTTAATCCAGTGTTAAGATGGGTTTTAAAATCAATCCAGGGGACTATCTGAGAATTTCTCCTTTCTCTGTTTCTTGCTCTCATGCTGGCTGTCTCCCACAGCCACTAGCTGCTGCTGTGGTATTATTTTTTAATATTTGTTTTATTTTTTCATTTATTTCAAAATGGGATAGTGCTAGTATTATAGATAGAAAAACGTTAAATAAATATGTACACAGACACACACACCCTGCACACATTGATCAGTCCTCTTGGACTGCTTCCTGACTTGCCTCTTGGAGCCTCCAATTCCCTTCTCCAGTATTTCTCTCTCCCTCTCCCCTTCCATTTCTTACAAGCCCTCCATAGGTGGGTGTTCCTGTTGAGTGAAGGCAGGGTGGAAAAAAGAGGGGAGAGAGCCCAAGAAAAGAAGGGCAATGTGTATTTTAAAAAATATTTCAAATATACCACTGCATTGAATAAGTGCTTATGTGACATCCCCCTTAATCTATTTTTAAAATATAATTTTTATTTGTTTTCAATAGAGATAGGATTGGGGGTAGGAGGATGGGGGGCTGGGGGAAGAGATATGGGTAGAGGAAGGGTAAAATTCCAGAGAGCGAGAGAGTACTTTTACATCCACACATACAATTATATTAAAATGAGGTAACAAAAAATTAAAATATAATCTTGAAGATATTTATGCTCCACCCATTACCCTGTAGTCTGCAACCCATAGCCTGCAACCCATGATCCTGACATCCAATAATCGAGAAACCCCCACTGACACAATTTACTCTGACAGAGGTGTTCATATAAGTCAAAACCATTCAAAAGAAATTTGATTTTACCAGTGAGTTCAAATAAATCATCCCTCAGTTAAAAAACCTAAATGTATGACCATAACTGTGCTCTTCTGTGTATCGTATAGTTGGAATTTTAAAAACTGATTAGATACATGCTAAATCCAGGTCAAAAGCAATTTTTCCTACCTGTAAATGAGTTCTTAGTACCTGTCTTGTTTTTCTGCAACACTTTTTTTAGAGTTTACTATTGATGAGTAGTACGTTTCCCACAAATCTCAGACAAGGAAATGTTACAGATATCCAGCAGCATTTATTACATGGCTAACATTTAAAATACACATGGGCAAATAAATAAAGGTTTCAGAAAACAAAAATCTGGAGATTTATTTTGTCAAGTTCTTAACATGTCAAATCAGGAAACAAACAAACAAAATGTCAGTACGTTTGAAGTCCTGATTCCTCCACACTTTCTTTGAGGACCAAAGTACAGTATAGTTTTGGTTATTTTGTTGGTTTTAATACTATAATGAGAGTTAAGAAACATGGTCTTGATTCATAATTGTCATTATAGTATTATAATCTCCAAATGTCCTGTTCACAAAAGCTTTGCCCAGCTCTTGCAGATTCAAGCCTGTGGCGTCAATCCATCTCATATTTGGTCTTCCTCTTTTCCTGCTGCCTTCCATCTTACTGTCTTTTCCAGAGAATCCTGCCTTCTTTTTATGTGCCCCAAATCTGACAACCTCAGATTTGTCATTTTTGCCTTCAGAGATAGCTGAAGAGATTTGCATTGTGATCCCCTTGTTCATCTCTTTATGCAATTTAAGGTATCCACAGAGCTGTCCCTCAGCATCGCAATCAAGGTGTATTAGCAATGATATTGATTTAGTATGAACTGATAGGTACATGGAAGGACTGCTCCATTTTTAGAGACAGACACTTTTCAGTTTCTCCCATATCCCATCCAAATATGGATTGCAAGTGCCTCGTCCTCCAGAACAAGCTTTGCCTGGAATGCAGAGTGACAGCGATCTGAATAGTGTTAATTGACCACCCTAGGCTAGGGCAGCATCAGTGCTACCACTATCTTTTAATGGAAACTATAAAGGCTGCAGAGCACAAGCAACTTGTGGCCAGAGCACAGCGCGGCCCCTGAAGCTTTGGGCGGAGGCACACTCCTGCTCAGTCCATGAGCTGTTCCTGGCAGAAAGTGGCGGTCTCTCTCCCCCCCCCGCCCCCGCCGCAATATCCTGCTGTTGCGTGTGGGGAAAACACACAAACACGAAAGAACAGAGTTATTGGGCATTTGTTTCAGCCTGAACTTTTGCGGATTACAATCTGCTTCCTCAGACACAGATCAGGTTCCCCCCCTTTCTTCCGGAGCCCCTCCCCTCACATCTACTTCTCTGAAAACAGCCCTTGAGTCGAGTCACTGAAATGTACGAGAAAGGCGACGACAGCCTCAGAAACAGGAAAGGGCCTGACCGCCTCAGGCAGGCAAGACCCAAACAAGCGGGGATCCTCTTTTCTACCGGCTCCGCCCGGAGCTCTCCGGTGGCCACATTGTTCATGGGGGTGGTGGTGTCCCGCTCCCAGCCGTCACTACGATGGACCAACGGGGGCTTTGGGGCAGCGACGCGAGGTTTAGAGCCCCCCCCCTCCTTTCACTACTCGTGGCAACAAGCAGGACTCGGAGGGGGACGGCGATGCTTGCGAAATATCCACCAAGCCCCCTGATCCGGGCAGCAACCTACCTTCTTCTCTTGCTTCCTCTTAAGTTACGAGCCTGAAAAAAAAAAGAGGAAGCGATTCAATTTGTAATATTTCCCTGAACTCGGGCTACTCAAGCCCCGCCGGATCCTTTCAGACCTTAGTGATTTGTAATATTTCCCTGAACTCGAGCTACTTAAGCCCCGCCGGATCCTTTCAGACCTTAGTCTGAGGCTGCCTGGGAGTGTGAATTTAAGTAGCTTCTGTGGCAAATCTCTCCTCCATCCTCCTCCCCACCCTTCATTAACCTTTACAACAAAGCAGTCCTGAGAAGAAGAGCGAACAGAAATCTTTGAAAGCAAATGCAAAGCAACCGTTAATCTTCTTTTTCCTTTCCGGGGCTATAAGATTGTAAGGGAGGCGAAGGGAAGGAACCACTTCCATTTTAAAAGACTTCCGGACTTTGCTTCACCACCTAGGCGCTGGTGGGAACGCCTAGTGTTGAGCGCTGCCGCCCTCGCTGTAAATGCATGGTCAAGTCGCCTCAAATTTACCCTAAAGATCCTAAGAATGAATGATCTCCAGCGACGGTATTTTTGCATTCTTCCCTAATAAGTTCTCTGGCTTCGATCCACAGTTTTTCAAGTTTATGTTCAAGGCGAATCTGTTCTTTATGTAGACTTTAAAAAATGAATTGCAAACATTGTTTAAATTATATTTTGGTGCTTTGGTATTCTTTTTCAACGTTACTCTAATTTTTACATTACCAGTTTATGGTTTGTATCACAAGCTGCATGTGGTCTTTTGGCAGAAAGGTTGGGCTCCCCTTGTTATACAGGCTGAAAGGAAGGTCCATCTTCACCCCTCGGGGTGGTGGTGGTGGTCTGGCACTGCCAAAACTTTCCAGTCACCCCACACGCTCCCTAGAACTTACCTGGCAAGCCCCAATGACCACCTATTTCAGAGGAGGGCATCCCTCCCCTTCCTCTAGTCTCCCAAACCATTTCAGACACCCACACTCTCCCAGCGGCTTGGCCGGTCAAACCCCAGTGACTGCTTATGAGCCACAGGACTCCGTCCTCCCCTGGAGCCTGGGTCTTAGGGTGGGCCTTCCTCCTGGGGTTGGGGTGGGGGTCAAGGGAGTGAGGTAGGGAACAAGGATGGGGTGAGGGGTCAGGTTTTGGGGTGGGGGATCAAGTTTCCAGGGCCAAGGTTGGGTGGGATGGGGTATAACGGAGGGCGCGGGAAGGGGTAATCAATGATTTTGACAGATACTATGCTACTCTTCTACAGTGGTGCCTCGCTTAACGATTGCCTCGTTTAGCAATGAATTCGCATAACGATGTTTTTTTTTTAGAAAATAATATGCACCGTATAACGATGTTTCCTATGGGCGATTTTCGCTTAGCGAAGTTTGGGACCATGCTTCGCATAACGAATGCGATTTTAGGTCCCCTGCTTCACTTAACGATGTT